AAAGGATCTTCAAAAAAGCCTCTAATAATGGGAATGCCTAAGGAACCGGCAGAAATCCCGGTTCACGATTCTAAGGTTTGAATTTATTTTTAAAGGTTGTCCATAAAACAATTTAGAAATGACATCTGGGAAATATTTACCAATATATTTAATAGATTGTTTTTAGATGCTTCACCTTAGAGTTGTACTCAACTAAAAGTTAAAAAAAAAATCCTCCTCCTATCTCCCTTCCCAAGGAGACAGACAGATATCTTTATAAAAGGAATAATTTTCTTGTTCGTTGCAGTTCCTGGACTTATCTGACATTTAATAAAAATATGACTGGTGTTCAGTTGACAGAACTGAGTAGTCCTTTTTCTTCCCCCTTTGAAATTATTTGTGAAAACCAGGCAGTTGTGTTTCTCCTATCTCAAATTAAAAAATAAAATCCGGCAAAAATGGCCTGTAGTAGAAATAACTTACTGATAGCTTATGAGGAAAAAAACCCCACTTTGCAACCAGTGAAGATTTTATTTTAGACTTTGAATTACAATTCACTGTAGGAAAAGCATATATGAAAAGAGATCCTGACAATATCCTTTAAAATATGACTGGAAGACATTCTGTGACCATATTGGGGGAATTCTAAGAAGTTTGTTTACCAACTTTGTTCAGCAAAAAGAAATTTCCATAGCTTCCCTTGAACCATATGGAATAGCAAAATTGCTTTCAAAGAACGTACATAAAAATGTAATGGGACCCTTCCATAGAGACTTGAGGTTTTAAATTATGTTAGGGGAAAGTAATACACTTTGTATTGATATAGTTATTTTTCTTTCCTAACACAGGTTTCCTTTTTGATTTTTAAATAAGAAGTTATTAAAATGATGTATATACATCTCACGTTTTCTCAGCATGAAACATTGAAATTAATTGTGTTAGTTATCATCATTCATTAGCTTCCATTTCAGAGCAAATGTAGGGTCGTATTAGTGCTTCTTTCTCCATCCTTATACAATTCCTGAGAAAGAAGTCATGATTACAATGTGTGACTATCTCAGTGGAAAGAAAAACTCATGGGCGACTGTCTCTTGGGCTTGCTTAGCGAAGTCAAAGGGATAATGGGTCTCCGGTCTTCTTTATTTCCTCACATTAGCCTCTGCAAGTATTGGGCTGCTGAGCTAAGGGCAGCTGCTGATATAGGAGCTGTCACTAGCTTCCAGTGTGTGACATTGGTAATAGCCACAGAAAGACCTAACAAGCATCCTTCCTGTCCCATTCACACAGCAGCCGCGCCTCCTGATTGGACTAGGACCCAGGATGTCTTCAGGATACTGTGCCCTGGCACCTTTAAGGAGCTCTCTTTCTCTTGCCCTAGAATACGGCCTTGGAGATAGTACCGTATCTTCTCCATCCATCAATAGATAATGTTTCAAGGTCTTCCTGTCCTAAGGTATTTTCTAATTCAGCAACTGCAAGAAGTTGCTACATAAACAGCATAAGCTGAATTTTGCTTATTGGAAGGACTCATTTCTTCTCTTTTAGGGTCTTCATGTATTTTTCCCCATGGACAAAGTTATTGCTGCCTTCAAAGTTTTGCAAACAAGAAATATATGACAGAGGATTAAAAAAGTTTATCACAAAAATGTACATATAGCTCATGGGAGAGTGGGCATGTTTTGAATAAAATTCTGCTCTTACTCTTCAACTGTAATGGTACATATAGTATTCCATTTCTTCCTTAAAGTGATATACCACTACCAGAATTTCAAATAGTAGCTTCATGAAGAATACTATTAAAAATATACTTCTTTTTTATCCAGTAACACTGTATATTTTTCTTCTCTGATTTGATATAGTTACAAAGTTGCTTTTCCTAAGTGCTTTTTGAAAAAAACTTAGCACAGATTATTTACACAGTAAAATATTTGTGCCCTGTGTGAAAATCCCCTTTCATTAAAAATGTCATACTTTAAAAATTTTTCTATTTTTTATTGGGGTATAGTTGATTAACAATGTCGTGTTAGTTTCAGATGTATAGCAAAATTATTCAGGTATACCTATAGCTATACTTATTCTTTAAAAAATTCTTTTCCTATTTAGGTTATTACAGTGTATTGATCTCTACAGCAGGTCTGTGTTGGTTATATATTTTAAATATATCAGTGTGTATATATCAATCCCAAACTTTCAGTCTATCCCTCCCTGCCCACACTTCCCTTCTAGTAACTGTAAATTCATTCTCTAAGTCTGTAAGTCTATTTCTATTTTGTAAATAAGTTCACTGTATCATTTTTTAAGATTCTTCATATCATCTGATACTTGTCTTTCTCTGACTTACTTCACTTAGTATGATAATCTCCAGGTCTATCCATGTTGCTGCAAATGGCATTATTTCATTCTTTTTTGGTTGAATAATATTCCTTTGTATATATGTACCACATTTTCTTTATCTATTCATCTGTCCATGCACATTTAGGTTGCTTCCATACCTTGGCTATTGTAAATAGTGCTGCGGTGAACACTGGGGTGCATGTATCTTCTTGAACTGTGGTTTCCTCTGGATATATGTCCAGGAGTGGGATTGCTGTTTTTTATTTTATTTTTTTGGATTGCTGTTTTTTAAAGGAATCTCCATACTATTCTCCATAGTGGCTGTACCAGTTTACATCCCCATCCACAGTGTAGGAGGGTTCCCCCAAAATGGTACATTTTTAGTATTTTTATTTTCCTTATCCACTCTTGTCCATTAGGCTGGTATACAGAGAGGTACTTCTGATTTGAAAGGACTGTGTTTGGTACTGAGCAACTTCTATTTTTACAATAGTCTTTAAAATTTTAAATTTAAATATTTTTAAATAGTCTTTAAGACTTTTTCCTTCTAATAGACATTAGTAATTTAGGCTGAAAAAAAATTTAATAAATTAGTATATCAACTGACTTTTACAAATTTTCCTAATATACACCATGAAATCACCTACATGAGCTCAAAGAAAGGCAAAAAAAAGTATAGGTGGAAGAACATTCAGGAAATAAATGCATTTTGCATTATGTTTAGGTTTTTTAAAAATGAGAAAATGAAGTAATCAACTTACTGTAAAATAGCATTATATGAGGGCCCAAGTTCTGTTGACTTTCATCCTCATAGAGCTGGGAATCCTATAAATTCTTTCTTTACTTTTTGACTCTCATCTTCCCTAATCCCCAAGAAAACAGAACTATGCTCTGAAACATATAATTATTTTTTTGAATGTAATTTTAGAGATTTTGAAATATCTCAAGCTCAGGAAAATTTAGATCCCTTGGAATGTCTTTTAAAATTTGGGAACAACTGTGTTGCTTGCCATACGCTGGCCTCCCTTCCCATCCGCTCACACATCTTACACAAGAACTCAAGTGAAGGGAGACGAGGAAATGGAGAACAGAGACTTGGGTGTGTGGGGAAGGGGGAGGTGAGGAGGATCATGACTTGTTAAAATGGAGGAAGAAAGAGTAATCCATAGAAGGTGGTGAACAGATTCTCTTTTGTTTTCTTACCCATCCCCCCTCTTTTTGGTCTTTTGGGGCTAATTGAAGATGGATCAGTTTAAAGCTTTGTTTCAAGAAGATTTTGTTTAGCTATGAGGATTATGCAGACCCTTCCCAAAGGGGATTGTGGCATCACTGGTTTTGGAATCTAATTTAGGAAGCTTTCTGGAATGCAAGATTCACCCCTCCCTCCTGCCTCACTGGTGCACCTCCATCCAGGATTCTGTGACCTGAATTACCTTAGTGGGTAACAGAGGCCTCCAGTCAAGGTTGAGTTCTATTACTGCCCTCTCATCTTGCTTTTATTTCTGCATTTTCATCTCCATATTTGCCTCAGACTTCCTAAAATACAGCGGGACTAGGATGGAAGTATTGTGCCGTGGTGGGCCTCTGCATTGAAATACTTTGTGAGCAGGTGAAGCTCTTTACCCAGCCGTCTATTTCTTCTGCGATTGCTTTTTGAGCCCTGCCACCAACTTGTACGAAGTTGAGAAAAATCACTTCCTCTCTTGGGTGGCAGATTTCCAGCTGCAAAATTAATTATCCACTTGCTTCCATCACAGGGTGTAGTAAGGGTCAGCAAGCCTGAGTTTGTGAAACTCCTCACCGTGCTAATCAGAAAGTTGTTCTGTTATTACAGTTTTGTTTTTTTAAAAGTTCTCTTGCTCTCCAGGGTTATTTAAAAAGCCAAACAGACTTCTTATAATATGTTTGCATTTCAGGCTTTTTTTTTTTTGACACTTCTTATGAAAATGTTAGTTTGGAGAAGAAAGGATTAGGTAATGGAGGAAGTTATTTGAAGCATGATTTGCCTGATAAGTGCTAAGAACTCTGTTAGAGGTTGAGAATATAAGAATCAGTAGTTCACTCCTCTCAGAACACTCACAATTCAAAGTAGGTGACCAAGTACGAATTTCACAGTAAGAAGGATGGGGAAAATACAAGGGAATGTCAGAGAAGGAGTCCTTTATTTCTAACTACTGAAGGATGGCCAACATAGGGAGAGTAATTTTCCTGAGAGGGAACTCTATGCAAAAAGACAGAGATCTCAAAATACACAAAAAGAATTTGATTTAGATTCACTTAAAAATAATGCAAGCAAATACCTGTTTGAAATGACACGTGACACTCCCAGTTGTAACATGATTAAACATTATTCAAAATGAGCAGTTACAATTTCTCCCTCCTTCCATCTTTCTGTCCCTGTGTCCCTACTTCCTTGAATTTCCAGCCTGATCTTATCACTAGGGACGTGGTATCCGCTCTCTCCCACCCTCTCTCCTTCTTTCTGAAACTGCAGTCTGATGTTATCACTGGACATGATGTAATAGCTCTGCCACTTTGAATTGAGGTTACCTTCTTTGGGACGGCTCTCTCATAGCAGATTTTCAAAGAAATCAAACTTGGCCTCTTCCAGTTATCCCTTCAGCTACAGGCTAGGGTCTGGTCCTCCCTGCATTCTTACTTCTTCCTCATCTGCCTGTTTATTTTAGGTAATGGGACTTCTGACCAACCACGGCGGGGTACCCCATCAACCCCAGACTGACTACGCGCTCTCGCCTCTCACTGGGGGCCTGGAACCTACCACCACGGTGTCGGCCAGCTGCAGTCAGAGACTAGACCATATGAAGAGCTTGGACAGTCTGCCGACCTCTCAGTCTTATTGTCCACCCACCTATAGCACCACGGGCTACAGTATGGACCCTGTCACGGGCTATCAATATGGGCAGTATGGACAAAGTAAGCCTTGGACTTTTTAGGGAGTGATTATTCCTGGAAGAGTGAAACACTTTAACTCTTCCTGGAGAAAGGGGAGCTGCAAACATGATTAAGCCTTCCATCCCGGTATCAATTTTGTGGCAAAGCCAGCTGGTTGTTCCAGCAAGGGCTTCCTTGTATAATTATTTTCTTAACTGATGTCAACAACCTCTTGTGGTTATTAATTGCTGAGACGTGAAAGCTGATTGCCACTAGGTAAAACACAAGTGTTGGCCCAAACGAAATAACCCCTCGCATTAGAAACACATGTTCTTAATGAGGTCAGCTCAAGGATCATATGGGGTATAATCCCCAGGACACAGAGTTCTGTCAAACTTGTCTCAGGAATAAAAATATTAGTCTCAATCCTTTGATACCCCGGTATTAAATATGACATTGTCAGCCTGTAGCTGATTTTGCCCCTTGCTGTGAATTGTCCCAGCCTGACCTGAAAAGCTGCATATGTTTCCTTACAGGTGCCTTTCATTATCTCAAGCCAGATATCGCATAAGTGAACTGTCCACTTGGAGTGTAAACTGGCCCTGTTTCCGGTCTCCACAGCCTAGACATGAAGAATCTTCTCAGAAAAAAAAAAAAATTACCCTCTTGGGGGGTCAGTCTCGACAGGAGACAAAGGAGAATGATTGATTTTCTTTCTCCAGTAGTTGGTTTCAAATTCTTTTGAACGTGTCGAACAAAAGCAGTGGAGAAAAGGAAGATCCGGAACAATAAAAGACAAATGCAACATTTTAAGGCAATGATTTAACATGGCTATATATCAAATATCCCAACTCTAGTGCAGATGATCAAGGAGCTAAAACATTCCACTTGTGTGTGTGTGTGTGTGTGTGTGTGTGTGTGTGTGTGATTTATTTCAACTGGTTTGGGTAAGCAGAACGTTCTGAAAACATAGTCGGAGAAGAAAGTAGAACAAGTTGGACGTCCGAAGCTGACACTTGTACAACATTAAAACTGCTCGCTCCATGAAGCAGGAACGGAGGAGTCTTGGACACACTGGAAAAGGATATAAAAATAATGCCACCGTTTTTAGGAAGTTAGACTAGATGTAAAGATCTCCCAATAAATTATTTGTTATCTTACCCTCATCTGTAATTCGGTTGTCGACACATGTCCTGGGTGGACACATCTTGCTAACAGGATTGGGGGGGGCGGGAATCCAGGAGAAAAGCTTGTTTTCTTTCTCAGTGTGGAAGAGGTGTGTGACATTTGCCCAGCTTATTTTCATTCAGAAGCTAACCTGGGGTGGGGGGTAGGGTGAAGAAGTGGTGCGCATTCCCAGAGCTGCTTATCAGAGTGCAATACTGTGTACCTCACGGATGCTTTGGCAAAGGCCAGGGCCCTAGAAACAGAAGCAGAATTCTATTTTTGCAGGTGCTTTATTTTTTGCAGCCCATGATTCATTGTGGTAGAATGCAGTGACGTTTGCCATTTGCTGGACGACCAACACCCAGCTTGCTCCTTTTGATGAGAGAACATGTTCGAGAGTAATCCTTTTTAAATGACTACGTTTACATTCTTCTCTTTTCTATGAAAGGCAGGGCAGCAATACTGATGTCCGTGTTGGCTCTCATGTACTTTTAAATTATACAATAATATCCAATATGGAAAGGTAATAGGAACTGAGGTTTACATATGTTTGTGTGGTGACATTTTAGAATGTCAATAAATTTGTTTTTTGAGGTGTTCAGAGGAACAGGACGGTGGAAGGCAGTGTTATTTATTTCTTTCTATTCTTGGAACCATGAATGAGGTAGGCACAAATACATTCCTTTTAGAGTTAAGAACTATGATGTAGTGAGTTAGTGAGATTAGACATAGTACTGAGTTTAATTCCTACGTTGGTCTTAGAGGGTGATGGATTGAGAGAAGAGCTATCTTCGTGTTGCAGCCTCAACCAACAACGATGTGTTGTAAAAATGTCTTTCCTGTAAAAAGGTGCAGTAAATATTTACTATTTATAATGAATAAACAGTTATGAAAACTTGCCCAACACTGATTTTTTTTGGGGAACTGATGAATGCAGTATTAATAACAACGTGGAAATGTAGAACCATCAAAGTTTATGCTTCACTTATATTCTAATGCCTTTTAGATTAAACTAGCAGTCCCCACCCTTTTTGGGACCAGGGATTGGTTTCATGGAAGACAAGTTTTTCACGGGCCGGGTAGGCAGAGGACATGGTTTTGGGATGATTCTCTTAAGGAGCACACAACCTACACACCTTGCTTGCTCAGTTCACTGTTGGGTCCCTGCTCCTATGAGAATCTAATGCCATCACTGATCTGAAAGGGGTGGAACTTAGACAGTCATGTGAGCCATGGGGAGTGGCTATGATACAGAGAAGCTTTGCTCATTAGTCTTTCACTCACCTCCCACCATGAGGCCTGGATCTTAACAGTCCATGGTCTGGGGGTTAGGGACCCCTGGATTAGACTATCACATGGACATATAAGGTCACACAACCCACACCTGTGTGTTCTTGATGAAGCTTGGTTGAAAATATTTTTAAGGACTGAAGTTTGTATTTTAATAGGTGTGGAATCTCTTTGTAGACAATCCCTTCGAGGCCAGCTTCCTATCCCCCTGGTTCTCTCAGAGCTATCAGCTCCCTTCATAGTCACTTGGAAGTGTGTTTTCCCTCAGAGAATGTCATTCCATCTTCATTGTCAGCAGTCATGTCCACTGAGATTTTTATTGAAAGCTCTCATATTTTGTTCTTCTGTTTTGGAAGCTTGTTTTACTCTTCATGAGAAAGCATTACTGCCTATTTTATTCATTCTTCTTCCCTCCCTCCCTTCCTCCTCTTCTGCTGTTCTCCCCCCTCCCTTTCCTCTTTTCCCTCTCTTTGTTCCTTCAGCACTTTATTTAAACACTTACTTAATGAGAGTCTAAATGTGCCAGGCATGTACTTGGCCTTGGTGTTACAGCAGTAATTATAACCTCGTGGGTGAGACAGATAAGCAAATACATGGCTGTAGTAAAGCATGAGGACTCTCTATTGGCGAAATGATCATAACACTCTTTGAAGCTCTTACTTGTGTTTATTCCTCCCAACATCTTATTTGAGGCAGATGATGTCATTAGCATTCTTCTTTTAGGTAAGATCACCCAATGGCAGAGCTGGGATGTAAACCCAGGCAATCCAACTTCAGAGCCTGTGAGCTTCAGCTCATTCTCTCTGCTTCCCCAAGGCTAGACTGGTGTGAGAGAACCTTATAATAAAGGAATACCATCGAATTTGGTCTCCTGCACTGCAGGCAGATTCTTTACATCTGAGTCACCAGAGAAGCTACAACAAACCATGTATGGCTATTTAAACAAGTAATTGAAAGTAAATAAAATTCAGATTCCAGTTGCACTAGCCACATCCCCAGTGCGCGAAGGCCACGTGTGGCCAGAAGCTTCCACACTGGGCAATAATAAAGAACATCCCACCATCATAGAAAATTCTGTTGTTCAGCACTGATCTAAAAGCACCTGTGTGTGTGCTAAGTTGCTTCAGTCACGTCCAACTGTAGCCTGCTAATCTCCACTGTCCATAGTATTCTCCAGGCAGGAATACTGGAGAAGGTTGCCATTTTCTTCTCCAGGGAATCCTCCTGACCTAGGGATTGAACTCACGTCTCGTACATCTCCTGCATTGACAGGCAGGTTCTTTACCACTAGTGCCACCTGAGAACAAAGCACCGGAGCTCACTGTTAAAAACTCCAAGGACTCGCAGTACTGTAGATAAAAATGTCCAAATTCTTTAAATACCTTAAGGTCTTTTAAGCATGGACACTCATCCTTCCAAGTCAATATGTTTCCCCTTTTCTGAAAATCATTTATTCCAAAAATAATACAAGGAGAGGAAGATAATCCTTACTGAATGCCTATTCTTGTAATCTAGCTTAATCTTTACAAAATCCTGTGAGATGGCCATTATAAGCCCCAATTTATAGATAAACAGACTGAGGTCCAGAATTGTTCATTAGTTTGGGTGAGGTCACACGCCATCAGAAATAGCAGAAGCAGACTTTGACTTCCATTCAATCTGGTGGTGGAACTCTTTATTACTATATCTCTGCAAATCCTGCTTGTGGTACTCACTTCATTATGTCTATCTTCATGCCAAACTCAAGTTGAAAACAAAGTAAAGGAAGAATCATTCACTCCCAACACACGAGAGAAATGCTACCAGGCCGTGGGATTACTCAATAGAAACTGATCTTACATATCACTTTCCCTTCCCTTCTAATCTCAGAACTTGCCATATGTCGCTCATACCTCTTTTTGATACTTCTTTATGCCCTTCTCTTATTTCTACATGTCTCTGGGATCTGTTACTCTGCTTGTATTTCTTATGTTGGAAGTCTCTATAGATCATTTTCCCCTGACTTCTCTTGGTATCTAATCCATCTCCAGGGTATTGGGGCTCTGACTTCCCCCAGTCCTAAACCCTAGTTGGGGTCTCTGCTCTTACCCTCTGGGACAGGCAGCCCTCAGGACTTTGAACTCTCAGCATTCAGCTGAGTTCAAACTTGACTTTGTGTGAAGGGCTTCCCCTTTGTCCGTGTAGTTATACACTTTGATCTAAAAACCTTAAATGTAAAAACTGAAATTCAGAGCTTGAAATTATTAAATAGTGAAGTATGAATGTTAACTGCTGAGTTGTTTCTTGACAGCAATTTTCCTAGAAACTGACACATTTTGAGCCTGCTAAGGAAACAAACATATTGCTTTAGGCTTTTAATTAGCCCAATTTGAAAATGCATATTCACACACACTTAGATATTTGGAGAACGTCCTTTGTTAGAAGGGATCTTCATTAGTGTTGGCATACAGAACCAGTGTAATTGACCAGGTCACTGGTTGTGAATTTAGAAAGAGACTTAAGTGGGGGTGGGATGGATTAATTAATGCTCTTTGTGTGTACATGCCATGGATGAATCATTCCTCAAACTATGTAATTGCTGCATGGAACCAGAACTGAGATCTCTTTGGAAGGAAATCCATTTTGGGGGTGAAGATTTGGGCCTCAACCATTCTGAGAATCTGGTTTTTGGTGTTTAATCATTTATGAGTAAGGAGCATGCTAAGTCGCTTCAGTTGTGTCCGATTCTTTGAGACCCTATAGGCTATAGCCCACCAGGTTCTTCTGCCCATGGGGTTCGCCAGGCAAGAATACTGGAGAGGGTTGCCATCCCCTCCTCCAGGGAATCTTTCTGACCCAGAGATACAACATGCATCTCTTGGGTCTTCTGCATTGGCAAGCAAGTTCTTTACTACTAGTGCCAGCTGGAAGTAAGGAGAGCTGGCATCAAACATCAACAAGTGACAAGGGCAATATTTATGCAAGGAGATCCAGAGGCCTTGGACAAGCACTCATCGATCTTCAATCAGTGTTAGATGATATATATGAGAAGACAGGAATAAAGAACTTGATTTAGGGTTCTTGCCAAATGCCAGTGATATAAGCTAGTTCTATCTTTTTCATAGACCCACTCCT